AGTGAGGAGGAGAAGGAGGAGGTGGATGGATGGATGGATGAGGGAGTGGGAAGACGGAGGATGAATAGGATGAGGAGGAGGCGGAGGAGGAGGAAGAGGAGGAGGAGGAGGAGGAGGAGGAGGAGGAGGAAGAAGAGAAGGAGTAGGAGCAGGAAGGAGGAACAGGAGGAGGATGAGGAGGGCAAGCACAAGGGCCAGAGGTCTCTTGGATGCCTCTAGGAGCCTCTTGGAGTATCTCTTGGGCGATTCTTGGGGGCCTCTTGGGACGTCTTGGGGGTCTCTTGGCGATCCTCCTGGGGGGCTCTTCGGGGTCTTGGGTGCCTCGGGGGGGGGCCTCTTGGGGCCTCTGAGGGTCTTCTTGGGGGCCTTCTGGGGGCCTCTTGGGGGCCTCTTGGGGCCATCTTGGGGCCATCTTGGGACCTCTTGGGGCCTCCTGGGCGCTTCTTTGTGCCATCTTGGAGGAGATCTATCAAAGAAGAGCTGAGCTTTAATTAGCGGTGCCCCCCCAGGAGGCCAAAATGGGGCCAAAACCATGCTGAAATCAATGATTTTGGCCTCCTCGCCGAGGCTGTTTTGGACGCTCTGACCGCTCCCCGCCCCTCCTGTCCAGGTCAGTGGGGAGGGGGTAGGGGGAGGGGTAAACCCCTCCCCGAAGGGGAAGAGGGAGGGGTGGAAGAGGAAACGCCCTAAACCACCGACGCCCAGAGGGCTGGTGGGATTTTCTAAGATTTCGGGGGACCCGCCGCTTTCGCCCTCTGTTTTGAACACTTTTTGGCGCGTCGCCGCGGCTTGTTTGTATTATCCTGCGCACGAAAAAGCCACCCCCACTGGCCCGCCCGGAGGGACGTCCAGAAAACTTGCTTGTTTGGGGGCTCCACTATTCAGGGGACATTCGAAAAACCCACAGTTTCGGCAGGCCCCATGAATAGTGGAAGCGGGGGCCGGGGGGGCCCAAGACGGCCAGAAAAGGGCACCAACATCGTCAAAGTGCGGCCTTGGAGGCCCCATGATGGCCCCAAGGGGCCGCGATATTCCCCCAAGAAGGCGCCATATGGCTTCAATGGTTTTCAAGACGCTCTTGGGGGCTTTCGGGGCCTGCATGCGTGCTTATGGGGGCCTTATGGTGGGCTTCTTGGGGCGGGCCATGTCGGGGGCCTTTTGGGGCCCTCTTGGGGGCTTCTGGGGGCCTCATGGGGCCATCTTGGGGGCATGTGGGGGGCATTTCGGGAATATTATGGCCTCTGGGGGTGGTTTGGGCCCCTGTCCAACGATTTGTGTCGTGCCAAGCCAGAGTGATTTGCTCATAAGATGATTTTGCAATACGTCAAAAGCTTTATTCATCGCCGAAGTGGTGTGTTGTGTTTGAAGTTGGGTTGTTATTGTTCGAGAACCCCCCCTCGTGTGGCGCCGTTGGAATCGTTATTTATCGTTCCAGGGGGGTGAGTGAGTGTTAGTTAGCTTTTTCATTCGTCACGGCTGAGGGAAGGTTGAGTGTTTCGCGATTTTTTTTATTCAAGCCTGCTGCGACCAGGGTCCAGCGTTGTATTGCTTTGGTTGATCCCACCTTCCCCCTCCCCCTCCCCCTCTCCTCCTCCTCCTCCTCCTCCTCTCTCCTCTCCTCCCCTCCCCCTCCTCCTCCTCCTCCTCCTCCTCCTCCCTCCCCCTCCTCCTCCTCCTCTACTCCTCCCTCCCTCCCTCCTCCTCCTCCTCCTACTCCTACTATCCTATCCTTATTCCTTATTAGAATATACTCCTACTCCCCCCTCAGGCCGGCCATTAGGGGCCGCATCCGGGTGGTCCCATCCTAACCTGTAAAAAACAATACAAAATCAACATTTTTCTTATTTTTTCCTCTCGACATGGACGTCCTGTCGTCCACGGCGATAATCCATTGCAAAAAATACCACAAAGAGCACACGCGCGCGTTCATGTCAGAATCCTACCGAACACCGTGTGTTTGCAAGCATTTCAACATAAAAACATCAAAAGCCCAATGTTTTTTCACAAAAATTATACAAATTTCCCGCCCGGGCTCTCTTGCTGAAATCATAGGAAAACCATAGGAATCTTAAGAATTCGGTCAAATCCAGCGATTTCACGTCATCGCGCGGTGCACTCGCGATGCTCTGTCATGCACCCAGGCCGCGAATCCTGTGCAAAAAATGCCACAAAGAACACACTCGCGCGTTCATGTCAGAATCCTACCGAACACCGTGTGTTTGCAAACATTTCAACATAAAAACATCAAAAACCCAATGTTTTTTCACAAAAATGCTTTGGGGTGTCCTGTCAGACCGTCGGGCTTCCTCCGGCCACCTCTGGCTTCCTGCGGTGTACCGGGCCATTCTCGACTCGTCTGGCAATGCGTGCGCGGCATTCAACACGCGCTCGCCAGTTCCCGTCGGCAACCGCCATCGCGGCCGCATCAGCTGTACCAAACCGGCTGGCCGGTGTGACTTCGGCCCCCAGTTGTGCCAGCTTTGCTTCTTATGTTGTGGGAGGGCGGGTGGGACTGGGCATGCCATGCTTGACTCGCTCGAGCTGGCTAGCTTGACTCCTACTCCTACTCCTACTCCTATCCTTATTCCTTATCCTTATTCCTTATTAGAATATACTCCTACTCCCCCCTCAGGCCGGCCATTAGGGGCCGCATCCGGGTGGTCCCATCCTAACCTGTAAAAAACAATACAAAATCAACATTTTTCTTATTTTTTCCTCTCGACATGGACGTCCTGTCGTCCACGGCGATAATCCATTGCAAAAAATACCACAAAGAGCACACGCGCGCGTTCATGTCAGAATCCTACCGAACACCGTGTGTTTGCAAGCATTTCAACATAAAAACATCAAAAACCCAATGCTTTTTCACAAAAATTGTACAAATTTCCCGCCCGGGCTCTCTTGCTGAAATCATAGGAAAACCATAGGAATCTTAAGAATTCGGTCAAATCCAGCGATTTCACGTCATCGCGCGGTGCACTCGCGATGCTCTGTCATGCACCCAGGCCGCGAATCCTGTGCAAAAAATACCACAAAGAGCACACTCGCGCGTTCATGTCAGAATCCTACCGAACACCGTGTGTTTGCAAACATTTCAACATAAAAACATCAAAAACCTAATGTTTTTTCACAAAAATGCTTTGGGGTGTCCTGTCAGACCGTCGGGCTTCCTCCGGCCACCTCTGGCTTCCTGCGGTGTACCGGGCCATTCTCGACTCGTCTGGCAATGCGTGCGCGGCATTCAACCGCGCTCGCCAGTTCCCGTCGGCAACCGCCATCGCGGCCGCATCAGCTGTACCAAACCGGCTGGCCGGTGTGACTTCGGCCCCCAGTTGTGCCAGCTTTGCTTCTTATGTTGTGGGAGGGCGGGTGGGACTGGGCATGCCATGCTTGACTCGCTCGAGCTGGCTAGCTTGACTCCTACTCCTACTCCTACTCCTCCTGCTCCTCCCCGTTCGCCGTAGCCATTTCCGCTCAGGGTTTGAGGTCCCCCTTGGCACGAAGTGGATGCCTCTGCTCACGGGATCCCCGAGGCCAGACCACAGGATCGCATTCACTCGGTGCTCACGGTGAGCTGCCCAGCGGCCGTGGGTCCCTTCCCGCACCTACCCAAGTTTGCAGGTCAATTGAGCCTCCTCCTCCTCCTCCTCCTCCTCCTCCTCCTCCTCCTCCTCCTCCTCCTCCTCCTCCTCCTCCTCCTCCTCCTCCTCCTCCTCCTCCTCCTACTCCTCCTCCTACTCCTACTCCCACTCCTACTCCCACTCCTGCTCCTACTACTCCTCCTCCCCCTTCGCCGTAGCCATTTCCGCTCAAGGTTTGAGGTTCAGTTCCTGCAGGCGCAGGTACATCCGACCTCTCAGGCATTTGCTGGAGGAGGCAGTCGCTACAACCATTCGTGCCGGGACAGGAGAGGCGAGAATTTGTTCGTTGTTCGAGAGTCCAGTGAATACCGAGTGAGATCCCCAGGTTGGTTGCGAGTGAGCCTCAGTCCGACTATACCGTGGAGGAGCCCTATGGCGCCGAGGAGGAGGCCTAGGCGTGACAGGGGCATCAGTGGTGAACGCAGCCGCTCGAGGACCAACAGTGTGATCGAGTCGGTGAGATCATTTCCAGGATCCCTTTCTCAACCTCCTGGGTGGATGAAGGAGCTTGGTTCCAGTGTCGCAGCGAGCAGCATTGGCAATGCCAGCATAATGTGCAACACGAAATCTTGGGGAGCAGGACGGCCATGACCGTACGAGATCACAACATTCAAACCGATTGTTCGCAGTTGCAAGCGTTAGAAGCAAATCAGACTGGTGCAATTTCGTCAGCAGTTCAATCATCAGTTGATGTCAAGCTATATCATGTCAAACCAGGAATTGATGAGCTCACGCCCTGTCTTGGCAGCAGAAAAGTCTTTTTCAAGTGGTAATTGTTGTGGGAGGGAGGCAGTGACGGCGTGGATGTCATGGACAGGGCCATGCGATCTCCCTGGATGTCGAGGCCCTCCCTTCTTCTTTCAATGCGGCATGTTCGTGTCGTGCTGTCTTCGGCGTTGGTTTCTGACACCCCGGGGGATCGTTCAACCTAAAAGATCGGCCTTTTCCGACATTCGGGGGCGGAAAAGAGGGGGATGATGACTAGGGGGGCGTGGATATCATGGCGGGGGCCATGATAGTTCCTCCGATTTCATGGCGCCTTTTCTTATTTCATTACGTCCCTGGCCCCCCCGCTGGGCCGCGCACATGCCGCCGGTCATGATCTGCACCCCCCCCTCTTGGACACCCCCCTCTTGGCCGCTCCCGAGACATGTCAGATCCTTCAGCATCCACAGATTCTGTGTCGCCAGCGGAGTTCAACCTTGAACGCCGGTGGCGGGGTCGCGGCCAGTCGTCACAACGCGAGCCTACCATACGTCCCCTGGCCCTCTCCTGGTTCGCGCACGTGCCTCGCGCCATGATTTGCGAACCCCCACTTTGGACTCTCCCCTCTTGGACGCTCCCGAGCAGCCCTCCGAGGAGAAGACGTCGGGCGGCATTAAGGCCGACGGGCTGATGCTCAACAAGCGCGGCAAGGCGCGGGGCCGCCGTGGGCGGGAAGTGGCCCGCTCCTCTGGGGCGGGGCGGGGGGATGGACGAGAGGAGCAGGAAGAGGAGGAGAGGTTGGAGGAGGAGGATGTGGAGGAGGAAGAGAAAAGTAGAAGGAGGAGTTCCAAGAGGAGAAAGAAGAGGACATGCATGACAAGGACCTTGGTGATGAAAATGACGACGGCGATGAGGATGATGATGGTGATGATAATGATGGTAAACTGGAGAATGGGGGTGGTGGTGGTGGTGGTGCTGGTGGTGGTAGGGATGATGCCGATGATGAGGAGCTGAGGAGCAGGGGGATGACGATGGTCATAACGATGAGGATGATGATGCCGATGTGGATGCTGATGATGAGGATCATGGTGATGCTGGTGGTGATGATGAGTCTGCTCTTGCTGCTGCTGGTGAGGATGCTGATGATGACAATGCTGCTGATGATGCTGCTGATGATGCAATTTATGATGATGGTGAGGCTGATTATGCTCATGCGGAACATCATGCTGCTGCCGACGATGATGATGATGATGATGATGATGATGATGATGGTGATGCTGATGATGGTGATGATGATGGTGATGGTGATGTTTATGGTCGTGGTGGTTGTGATGGTGGTGTGGGTGATGATTGTGATAATGGTAATGAAGGTGAGGATGATGAGTATGATGTATGAGTATGAGGATGTTGCTGATGATGACGCTGATGCTGCTGCTGATGATGCTGATGCTGATGGTGGTGGTGGTGTTGATGATGCTGATGATGCTGATGATGGTGATGATGCTGCCGCTGCTGCTGCTGCTGCTGATGATGATGATGATGATGATGATGATGATGATGATGATGATGATGATGATGATAAGGAGGACGACGATGATGGCGATGATGATGGTGATGATGATGATGGTGATGATGATGTTGTTGATGATGATGGTGGTGGTGGTGGTAGTGGTGGTGGTGGTCATGGTGATAATTGCGATGGAGTGGAGTGGAGACGGATGATCCTGGTGCTGGTTTTCCAGCTGCCTGCGGCAAACCCCGCCACCGTGTTTGTGCAACAGCGCAGCAGGAAGGATGCTGAGTGTAGGAACCACGCACTTCCAACGCGGGGTCTTACAAGGCCGGACCGTGAATTGATCTTCGTCCTCGTCCGCGCGTTAGCAAGGTTATCGAGTTCACATCCCGTGGTAGCTCAGCGAGTGGTCTGAACTGGAAGAAGGTGGAAGAGGACGCGGTGATCTGCTGGCCACGTTCTCGGGCAGAGATGAATACGATATCTGTGGATGTGCAGAGGGGGAGTAGCCAGGTTGCGGGTCTAATTTTGGCTGATTGGCACCATTATTGGATGAATGGCACCGATTTTGGCCACGATGGAACCAAACGTGGCTGCGTTAACATTCTCGGCATGTCTTTTAGACGTTGCGCAAGTACATGGCTACCCTCCAGGATGGTCGTTTATTCTAGACCTCCTAGACGGGGTCGGAGTAGATGGGGTCGGAGGATCGCGCCGCATCGCCGATGCGGCTCAATGTGGAGACCGATTTGCTTCACGTCGACGTCGCCGATGCATCGCCCACGTCGACGGTGCATCGCCGATGCATCGCCGATACATCGCCGATGTATCGGCGATGCGGCGCGATCCTCCGATCCCATCTGTTTGGACCCATCTAGGAGGCCTCTACTTCTGTTTTCCGTCTCGCTGTGCCAGGAGTGGACCCAGCTTTTGGCAAGGTTCACGCCCATCTTCTGGAGTTATCTTCATTGCGATGATATCGGATTGTATCGCATCCGTTGTTGCTCAAAGCCTCGCGTCACACATGCAACCCACAGGCCCGCTCTCCCAACAAGGCGACTCAGAGCCCTTCGACGACGACGCGACTCTCAGAGGCCTCGACTCTGCGGCCTTGAGGCTTCTCAGAGGCCTCATTGAGGCCTCCCAGAGGTCATTCAATGCTCAGCGAAGTCACGCAGATGCAGCCGAACGAGCCGACCCAGATGACTCTTAAACAGGCGGCTTATAAAACCTCAGAGAGGCGGATCGGAAGCCGTCTCGGGTGCGCACCAGAAGGCTCAGAAGGCTTCTCCTTTGCGGCAGAGAAGGCCTCGCGTAAGCCTTCTTGGAGGTGGCCCAGAGGACATCTAAGAGGCGGCTCAGAATGACTTATGGGGCGGCACCACTCAGAAACACCTGAGAGGCCTCCCAGAGTCCTCTAGGGATTAGGGATCCTCTCAGAGTATTCTCAGAGTCCTCTCAGAGTCCTCCCAGAAGCTTCTCGGAGTCCTCACAGGAGCCTCCAAGAGTCTTTTCAGAAGCCTTTCAGAAGCGTCGCAGAGGTTTCTCAGGAGCCACTCGGAGTCCTTTCGGAGCGCGCAGACAAGCATCTCAGCGGCCTGTCAGAAGCCTCTCGGAGTCCTCACAGAGGTTCTCCAGGATCTTTGTAGACGTTCACCGGCCAACACAGGCCATGGTAATGGGTGAATGCGCATTGTCTACGTCCTTTCCAGACACATCAGCGTTTTACTGAAACGGGGAACGGACTTATGGAATCGTGCCACCGAACTCAAAACAAGACAGCACAACATCTTGTAAACGCGAGAACAAAGTTACCACATTCAAGCGAATTTGCTAAATTTGAAGCCGTTATCTAACACGTAGAGTCCTATCATTACCATGGCTCAGGTTGGTGTGATTCCTAGAGACCGCTCGTAGTCCCGTCAGAAGCTTGTCAGGGTCCTCTCAGGAGCCTCTCAGAGAAACCCTGCTGAGGTGTCTGAGAAGGCTCTCAGAGCCTTCTCAAGAGGCTGGCATAGTCTCCACGAGAACCTGTCAGAGTCTTTTCTCAGAAGCCCCCCAGAGTCCTCCCAGAAGCCTTTCATCGGCCTCTGAGGGGCCTCTTAGGGTCCTCTCAGGAACCTGTCAGATTCCCGTCTTCATCCTTCAGAAGCGTCTCAGAGCTTTGTTGTTTTGTTTTTGTTGGGACATGTCATACGCTCTCCGGAAGATGAGGAGCTTTTCTCAGAAGCTCCGCAGACTATGAAAAGCTTCTCTTGGAAGCTTCTCGTCCTATCGGGATTGTCAGAACCTTCTCATGCTATAGCAACACATTGTATGCTTTCATACTGCGGGAATCAATTGGGACGATTCACTGCATGTGAGAAAATGTCCAGCTGTTCCCCATGCTGTGCGGAGCCTCCGATTAGTTGTTTCCTCATGCTTCGGAAGGAAGCAGCATGCCTCCCTGGAGCGTCTCACCCTCGTAGCTTTTGCACGACGGAGGCCAGCCGCGAGTGGTGCCAATGTAGCGGGGAGTGAACCCTAGCGGCCAGGGTCGTGGATGCCATGACAGTGGGCGTCCTAACCGTTTTCTCATGGGATCAGATATGTTTCTGAGATGTCTTCAACATATTGTAAGCATCTTCGGTACATGATTAAGTCTGGTTCCAGGCTCTACGCCATATTCTAAACATGTTTTAGACAGCTGGGGGTTATTTGGCAATCTGCCTCCTCTTCCTTGATCGTCTTCATCAAGGCCAGACTTGAGACCCGTAAGCCTGGATGAGTCCCTCCATCGGGGCCAGGTCGTCTCCAAGCGCGCCTCGGCGGCGGGGAAGCGGAAGTACGGCAGGATCGAGGGCTGGGTCGAGGCGCTCATGGCGGCGCGCGAGGCGGGCCATGGCGTGCGCCATCCTCCCCCCCCGCCCTCCCAGCCCCCTCCCCTGCTGTTGCTTCTTCTCCCTTGCCCGCGCTGGCCCTGCTGTGTCTCGCCTGCTCGTCCTCTGTCCCCCTTCTTCGGTCCCTCCTCCCTTCCTCCCCCCGTCTCTCACTCTCTTTCTCTCTCTCTCTCTTTCTCTCTCGCTCGCTCCCTCTCTCTGTCTTTCGCACCCAGTTTCTCTTTCTCTCTCTCGCTCTCTTTCGCTCTCCCTGTCACTCGCTCGCCCTATCTCTCTCCCTCGCTCTCGTACCCTCTCTCTCTCTTTCTCTCTTCTTTTCTCCCCCTCGGTCTCTCACTCTCCTTTTCCCCCCCCCTCTCTCTAAATCTATATCTATATATGTGTACATAAAGCTACAGACGAAACATTTCACATTTTTTGGCATAGCCAGTCCTGGATCCCGCCGCATTTGCCCGTTCAAGTCTTGAAGAAGACCGGGTCCCTTCCCATGCGTCCTGCAGGTGTCGGGCTCCACCTCTTCTGCCATATCGGCGCCCTTGGCCTGGCGCGCTGGTGGTGGACTTCGCCCGCTGTGCCGACGCCGCCTGTCGTCGTCAGCGAGCGGCCTGCGCATAGCCTCGCGGGCGCTTCGAGATCGGAGCTCGGGACCGTGGTGCCGCTGGCGGACTGCCTCGCCGCGGCGCTCGAGGGGCACGGGGCTGCTCTGGTCTGCCCCTGCGCTTGTACCCCTGGCCTGGCCTGCAAGGCAGGCGAGGCGAGCTGGAGCTTCCCCCTGGGCGTCGGCGCGGTCGCCTTCCCGCTGCTGGAGGCGCTCAAGGCCACCGTTCGGTTGGCGACCAGCGCTGCGCGCTCGCTGTTGCCCGGGCGACGGCCGCTGGCAACGCTTGGCGAGGCGCCGACGGTCGACGCGGAGACGAGCGCCGAATTGGAGAGGTTCGCCGCGGAGCAGGCCAGGGCGAGCACGGCGCGCAGCCACTCCAGTATGCTTGGCAACGTCGCCGCCTGATGGCGGGGGCGTTTCACGCCATCCGCCACAACGTGCTTGGCCCCGTGATCTGGCACGAGCGGCTCGCGATCGCGGAGTGCGGGGCGCTCAGCTTCGTGCTCGCCCCTGGCTTCGACGACTACGACGAGCCGAACGCGCCGGGGCCGGACGTGGCGGAGGTGGCGCGCTTCCCTGGACAGGGCGCCAGGCTTCCCGCGCAGGCGGGCGGCCGCGCTCACCGCGTCAGGCGGCGGCCGACGCCTGCGGAGGTCTGGGC